AGGGACCCCACTGATTTGATGCCTGTGTCCATGAAGCTAAATACGCCCGTCAGCCCTCACACCAATATGGGGCTTTATCAGGAGAGCATTTTGGAATATAGTCACTTGGCTGTCTCAGTGTAGTTTCCATACACGGTTTCCCACTTTTTATCGTTACTTTTTGGAAATACGTTCCTCTAAATGATCCCCTTTTCCCTTGTAAAGTTTACCAGGAAGCAGAGGCTCCCACGTTTTCCCAGACCCCGCGTTGTCTCAGTCATGTTTCCATGGTGCCCGCGGCCGGTACCAGACCAGTTCTGTGTACTAAGCAGTGGATATCCAACCACTGTTTATGTTCTAGGAGCTCGGGCACTTGAGGAAAATAACACACATACGTGGAGAGGAAAATTAATATTTCTGTTTTATTCTTAAGTAGTCACAGTGGTTTATCATAGGGTGCCTCCTGGGCCCTGCACCGCTTCTCAGACTGGAATCCAGTTGCAGGCTGCCACCCTCATTCCCTGTTTCCTGCCCCGTGCTGATCTGTGCAGTGCTTGGTTTTTATCAGCAACTAGTGAAAACCAGCTTTGCAAAAAATGTAACATCAGAAACTGCAAGGAACGTGACCCGATACTGAAAACTAAAGGACCTTGACGTAGCAGTTCATAAGTGTGGGGCCCAAGTCCCCAGTTTCCGTTGCAAGTGTCAGGTGTCCTGCGGTACCCTGTGAGTTCCTGCATCTTGGTGACGGGGGAGCTGCAGATAAAGGTCTCTGATTGATCAATCGATCGATCGATCCTTTGGGGCCTGAGATTAGACCAGCTGCAGCCTTTGCCACTGTCGGTTTGTTCAATAAAAGGTCTTTATTAAGCTCATCTTTCCCAGGGGAGATTGCATTTCCTGTTGGCAATTTTTAGTCAGTAATGAATCTTACTATTAATTAATTATCAGTGTCTGGGGATGTGGGGGTGGGTGGCTTTTTCTACTAAGATAAATTTTTCCCAAGTTTATACAACTTTCATTGTTTCCCTGATAGGATTTTTTTCAGTCAGTTTAATTTTTTTATTATAATCTGTAACAAGTTATCACATGCAACTCCTATTCTGTGGTAACTAATTCTAAAATAATTGTTTATAAGAAAAGACTGGCCTTGCTCACCTGCACAGGTGAACACGGGATTGGCTTCCCTCGGGGTCCCCCCCACCCCGTCCCTGTACAGCAGGCATGTCAAACTCAAAGGCTAACGGGCCAAGTAAACGAGGCATGCGGCCTGTGGGCCGCGAGTTTGACATGCTTATTTACAGACATTGTTAACCCAGAAAGGGCTGGGCCACGAGCTCAACAGCACGTGCCAAAGCCCAGAGGTGACTGCGGAGTGTTTGGGAATGTCAGCCATTCAGAGATGTTGGTAAAGAAAGTGGATTGTGTGGCGTGGGAGTTAGGGGTTAAGAAAGAATAAAGGGGCAGAACGTCTTGGGAGGTGAAATGTCCTTGGGGGTCAAAGTAACTTTTTGCCTTCTCGCTTCCCGTGTGTCCTCAGAAGCAGAGACCCCAACAGAAAACCTCCCAGAACCAGAAGGGGCCAAAGAGAAGAAAGCAGAAGAGGGGGACCTGCCCATGATGCCCCCCGAGCCCCAAAACGCCTGCAGTGAGTTTCAGATCCTCTTCCCCCTGCAGCCCCATCTCTGCTTCTGGGGTCAGATGTCTTGGTTGGACAATTCATTTAAATGAGACGTAGATTCTCAAGTGTGCTGTTTACATGGATTCTGGGTTTTATTATTGTTATTGTTTTATTGCATGCACGTGAGAAAGAGAGAGCCGGTCATCCTGCAACAAAACAGCTCAGGAATCATAGGTACTGAGTAGTTAGTTGAGCGATAATTTTTAAGTTGGACAACCAGGCTGAGTGCGGGGTTTAGAGGTCAGCCTGCCCCTCCGGTGTCCGTGAGCCCCCTGAGTTAGGAACAACCCGGGGCCGTTTCAGGATGCAGAGTGGTACCTGATTTTCCGCAGCTGCAGAAGTAGGGACATTTTCTCATCGGGCTGTAATGTCTTTTTACCCTTTCCATACGTCTCCAGTTTGGATGCACGTGAGAAAGAGAGAGCCGGTCATCCTGCCACAAAACACAGCTCAGGAATCATAGGTACTAAGCGTAATTAGTTGAGCGATAATTTTTAAGTTGGACAACCAGGCTGAGTGCGGGGTTTAGAGGTCAGCCTGCCCCTCACCAGCCCCGCCACCCGGTGTCCGTGAGCCCCCTGAGTTGGGAACAACCCGGGGCCGTTTCAGGATGCAGAGTGGTACCTGATTTTCCGCAGCTGCAGAAGTGGGGACATTTTCTCATCGAGTTGCGA